AAAGCCAAAGGTGGTGCAACTAAATACTAGTGATGTATTTAGAATGGTCTTTTGTTTACCTGTTTTTCATGATTGCATACTTTTTTCCTCAGATTTGAGTGATTCCATATTTTTTCCTGTGCTTGGTCAATAAAAGTAACATTCACCAACTTCCACAATGTTTTCTCTTCATTTCTTTGAGTGTTCCTGAAAGCCAACAAGTTGCACTTTGGAATGACCTTATTATTGTATCATGTTTTTGATCTGAGTTTGTTTTACAGAATGAAATGTCTGAATGAGTGCTCATCCAAGACTGGTCATTCCATACTTTTTGCCAGGGGTTGTACGACTGCTTACAAATAAATGGAAAATAAAATGTTTACTTTCATATTGACCCTGTTTTCTGACATGATTGTCAAACTTTTCAGCTTCTATCCCACATAACAGTGGCGATAGTTGCTACTAAACAACTTGAAAACCTGAAATAATTATCAACAGGCATGTGATCTTGTGATACTTGAACATCCAGGAAGTGAGTCATGAGTACATATTTGTCTATATCCAGTATTTCCTGTGTAGTTGAGGCATGCTGCCAAATTTGCATACAAGTGACAACATTTGATGCAGTCAGCAGAGCTCTGGCTTTAAAATGTCTGTGGTGCCAAATGTTCAGGAAAATATCCTGACTGTGTTGCTTTAGTGGTTTTTAAGAACCACATTTTAACAGGGTGGTATGTTTTAAATCTTTCATTTTGCAAATAAAATTTTTGACCCATTTCAACAATTCCTTCTAGGTTCAGTTTGAATTTTGACAATACTTTGCTTTAACCAGTTTCCATTCCTTAGTATTATTTCGCACCTTCCATAAACTGCAGGACTATACGGTCATTACAACAGCTTAGAAACACTTCTTTTGTTGTAGGGTTTAATTACTCAAAGTAAAATTAAAATTTGCCCAATGAACCTTTACAATTTTGTCTCTGGATGTGTCAGTCATTAGTGTTACATTTTTTCTTTTGACAAATATAGAAATGTAGATTAAAGTAGTAGGCTTTTCCACTTTTAAAGCCACAACTTATGAAGTATTTAAGAGCTCCAAAAAGGATTTTTCTTGCTTAAGTGTCCCTTTTCTCCCCCTCTAATCTCTTCAATACATTGTGAGATCAAAGTCCGTGTGTATTTGTTATATCCTAAGCAAACACCCATTCTACACACCTTGATGTGCCTTTTTAAGTGTTAGTCTCTGTTCAAACAAACATGGAACAGAGCAGACAACAGCTGCCATAAAAAGCTGCTTTATCAGAACTTTTGAGAGCACGCACCTCTTTGATATTGTTGCCAAAGAGACTTTATGCTGCTTATTCCAGCCGTATGTTATAATTAATTGCATTGTAGAAGTGTGTTGATAAGAAAATATTTAACGGTTTAATAAATTGGGTCAACGTTCACAGAGGTGCAAATGTGGTCCTTTGAGGTAGGCAGATGAGACATTTACCTGAACGTGAAAAAACAAAAATAATTGCTTCATGGTTAAATAATTTCTAATCATTTGTATTTCATCTTTTGTTTGATTCTTATTCTTAACTTTTACTTTCAGCTGTCCATAAATAGGCAGTTTGAGTTGAGTCTGATCTTCTGGATGGGTTCTTCCTAGTAGAAACATTTTGTCTTTCATCCAAAATAGGTCTTCAGTTAAAGGAGATGAAGGTAACCTCAGCCTTATGAGCAGTGCCTTCAAATATATCTCCTCAGAATGAAGAAGTCTTCTGGATAAAAGACGAAATGTTTCAGCAAATAACTCTTCCAGAGGACCTGACTCAACCTTATTAATTTTTTCTGTCTGAATCATTGAGATGCACATAAAAACTATTTTAAAAATTATAACATTTTTCACTGTATTTGTGTTAGTAACTACCATTTTCCAGCCAAAATGTGATTTGACAATCTTATTTGCCTACCGAGCACAGCAAAGTCAGTTAGATAAGCTTTTAGAGACCCCAGGTCTCTGTTTACACCTCATAATTTCAGTTTTCACAAGAAACCAACATCCAAAATCTATATGAGACCTGCCCTAGGAGGGTTAAAATAACAACTCCCAATACCCCCATTCATTATTTCTGCAGGTTACAATCTGTCATTGTTATGGCCAGAAGTTATGTTCACATATTTGTGATGGTCCAACCGGATCCAACCTTTTCTTTTTATTGATCTACCTGTTTAGTTAGTATATATCTTGATGAACCTGTTTATGGCTTATCAGTGAGAAATGCTCATTAATGCACTCATTCACTGCTGTCTGTGTTGGTTTACAGCCAGGCCATTTGCATGACTTCCTTGTCAGTCTGTACGCTCGTGAGCACCTCTTTGTCTCTCGGGACGTTTTATTTAGTTTAAGAAGCAAGGAGTGTCTGACTTCAGACTTCACAAATCTAAGGGCATCACTTCTGTTTTCTGGATAGGTGAGATGGCCTAAAGGAAAGGAAGCAGAGCAGAGCGGTGGGGAGGAGTTGTCCTCGTGACAGGTAGACACAGGGAGGAGCTGTGCTACCTGTGCAGAGCTGGCAGTCAGGGTACATTGAATAGTACACCTGTTGCACTTCCCAGGCTCTCTCCCTCTCTCTCTCTCTCCTCTCCTCTCTCTTTATTCCCTTCTTTTCCCCTTTACCAACCTGAGAGCACAGGAGGACTGGGAAACTCACCATGGATCCCAAGGAGGGCAGCAGTACTGAGAAGGAGAAAGAGAAGGAGAAAGTGATCAAAAGGAGGAACCGTCCCATGTTTATTCGTTACCTGGAGAGGAGGAAGACGGACACTATAGTAGCTGATGACATGGCCAATGGTGACATTAACCTGGGGACGCTGGTGAGGAGGAGTCAGTCTGATAAGACGGAGTACAGCGCCAAACTTAAAGGTACAACATGTTCCCAGAGGTCAAAACTACGGCGACAATTTAAACACACGTGAGCCAACTTTCAATTTAAACAATGATCTCCACTCATTTCCAAACACAATGGGAACTTATAGCCTAACAGGTAACAACTGATGGGCTGTAAGTGCTGCGTCTGCGTGTCTTCAGGGGCAAACTTTCACACTCACACTCATAAGTGTGTGTGCCTCTGTACCGGGCACCTGTTGTGTTACTATGTGCTGAGCTGGATACTCCCTCAGGGGATGAAGCCACATTATGCAAACTGTGCCCCAAACTCGGGCACAGAGGAGTGGCCGGCAAAATTGTTCCAGACCAGCAGGTAAACAAAACTTAGACAGCAGAAATGGGAAAAAAAATGCGAGAACATTTTGTCTTTGTTGCCCAGTTTTACAGGAGAAAGTGGAAGAACTGGTCTCACAATTTGTTTCTCAGAGACCATGCATCAGGAGAAAAAAAAACTAACAGGGTGAAATCAGTGAAGGAAGAAGTAATTATAAAAAGAATGGGCTTTAAAAAACACACAATAATTGCTGACATAGTCTTTTAATTCATTTGTCTGTGAAACAGGCTCCACTTGTCCCGTCCTAGAGTGCACTCAGTCTCTGCCTGGGAATGCTGCCGTTCAGGCAAAATGACATCAGATGTCATCAGTAAGGGAAGGGAGGGGGTTACTTTTATAGTATGAAAGCTACCAGTATGCTGGCTTTCCTGTGCCACCTGTTCCTCAGTTTCCTCAAACAATACACACCACATGTATTACATCACTGCAAGCACTGTGAATCCTCAGTTGCTTTGCTGAAAACTGTTAATGATGCAAAAGCCTAAAGAAGCAGAACAGCAACAGCTTAAAACTAAAAAAAAAAAGAATAGCCAAAAGTAGCAAAAGATAATCTAAAGGCTAAAGTAGAAAAAAACAAGTTAAAGTCATCAAAAGAATAGAAGCAAAACAAATTTAAAAAATACTGGCTTAAAGCCTAAAATAGCAAGAGGCTTGAAAGACACTAAAATCCCAAAAGCAGCAAAAGGCCAAGTGTAAATAGGACAAATGTAGCTAAAAGAAGCAATATATGCCAGCTAAAATATGTCATCAGTTCAAAGCTAAAGTAGAAAAAATAGCTTAAATCATGAAAAAAATAGCTAGAGTTTAAATAAAATAAAAAATACTGTCCAAACTCCAAAAGCAGCAAATGGCTATGAAGAAGGTAAAAATAGCAAATAGCTAGCAAAAAAGCTAAAAATAACAAATCTGGAAGGATTATTTAGCTACAAGAAACCAAATAGTAGCTAAATGCCAAAAGGAGCAAAAGTTTAAAAACTAAAGACAGCACAAAGCTGTCTAAACGCTAACAAAAAGCAAAAGGCTAGTCAACAGCTAAAAGTAGCAGAATAATAGCTAAAGGCTAAAACTTGCAAAATGCTTAACAATTGTTTGAACGAATGGAAATGATCCTCATTCATTACTACAGAAAAAAACATCTGTAAGTAAAGTATTTTGAAAAGTGTAAAAGTCACAAAAATAATAATTAAAATAAATAAATAAATAAATAAATAAACAATTAAATAAATAAACCTCGTCCACTGGGTGTGGATATTTACTGAAAAAGAGATACTCTCTCTGCTCTTTGGGCACTTTCTATTTTCTTGTCCCGTCTGCATCACGACGGGCACAAGGAGTTCTCAAAAAACACTCACAGCTGTTTTCAGTAAACTGTCCACAACCCTCGTCATGGCTCCAGCATCTCATCTGATGAGCAGCATTACATATTTACACTGGTATTACCAATGCAAATATTGTCACAACGATGACTTCACTGGAAGAGGAAACATATGAGTTGCTGTCCCATACAGTCTGTTTCTCATCTGCTTGTCAAACAGGTTTTTTTTCCCCAAGTCATAGAACCATAGCAACATGACATCAGTCCATCTAATATTTACTGCAGCTCAAATATAAAACAGTCCAGATAAGATAATGATTTACCAGCACATTACACACATAAAAACATATATAGCCACACATCACGCAAAAGAAAAGTCACTTTGTAGTTTTTAATTTATTTATTTTAAGACCTATTCTTGATGCTTAACTTAATGTCAAAAGATCAAATACTTTTGAAGTAGTTTTAAATCATATTTTACCAAAAGGTAAAAGGTGGGTGATAATGTTTGTGCTTGTGTTCGTGTGTGTGTTCATGTGCCTGCAGCAAAATATGTTGTGAACAAAATGTCAGTCTTTATTTAATTGGTCTGAAAGTTTCATTGGTTGTACGTTTATGATTGTTTACCTTCAACGGTGTCAGCCCAATTCAATATGGCTGCCACAGTGATCTTGACAAACACATAAAAGATTATAATTTAGTTTATTTTACAGATAATGAGATAAAACTTCCCAAAACTTCCCAGAATTGCCACTAACTATAAAAAGATTACAACAGATTTGTCTGTCTGTTAGAAAAATATCCAGTGAATCACTAGTAAAATTTTAATGAAACTCACATAAAGTAATCAATGGATGTACATATATATCTACATAACAAATTCACAGCTTAACAACCCTACTCAACAAAAATAAAATAAAAATGGCTATAACTCAATAAATTACATACTGTAGCTATAGAACTATAATTGGATGTGGTATTAGCTAAAAGTGTCACCCAGAACACACACTTGGAGCGCTAAGGTAATGCGCAAGATTTGAAAATATGGAGTTAGATTGTGTATATCTAAGTAAATTCGTTAGAAATATATTTACAGAGACCATAAAGTATTTTTATCTAAAGACTAGGTATTTTATTAGGAATATTTAAGCAGTATTCTGATTGAAGATTTCCTGTTGCTGTGTGGCAAATACCCCTATCTATTGTTTTTCCTGATGGTGCTACATGATACACAATGCTTTGTATTGTTTCTGGGTAAGTCTGTCAGATCCTTTTTGCTGGGCTGAACAGTGAAAAGCCTTGTATCCACTTTCATGGGAACTCCAGCGCTGGTAACCACACCAAACATAACTCTAGTAAAAGAATCAGTCAGGACCATGTCAGTACTGTTGCTGACTCTTGGAAAAAAAAAAATATGTCACAAAGTGTATGAATTAAAAGGGTTGTGTTTTTTTATTTATTTATTTTTGTTTTGTTTTGTTTTGTTTCCCCTGTGTGTGTTTTTTAAGGTGTCATTTCACACAGTGGCGGCCAATGCTGACACACGACATTGACATTTTTAGAAAATCCTTTTAGAAAACGGGTTTACTTGCAGTCATTTTGACATGATGATGCAATTCTCAAATTTCTTCTAATATCATGCTCAAACATTTTTCCATTATCAGGCAGATATATGTTCTCCTGAACACCTCTGTATAGTACAGTGAGAAGAAAATACATTTCATCTGCACAAAACAGGAAAAGATAAGCTGTTGTTTCTGCTGTTTATATTTGTAATTGGGCCTCTCTCAGTTTGGACCATTAGCTCACCAATCCTGTCCGAATAAAAACTTCATATTTTAAAACTGGTGCCATTTAAAGATTAGGTAAGTTAGTAAGTAAGTAAGTAAGTAAAGTAAGTAAAGTTTTATTTACAGAGTGCCTACTTGTTCACAATCTTTCCATAGAATCCAATTTTAGAAGATTTGAACGAACCCTTTGGATCAGCATTGCAATACTGCACTACATCTCTAAAAATATGACCTCCAGTCATTATAGAAAAATAATTTTAAATGACTTTGGTCAGAATGGTGAAGGGGTTTTTAACAGCAGTGACCAAAGGTATATTTAAACAACCTCTCTCCAATAGATAAGAACGTGGGTTGAATGATCAGGTTTTGACCTTGTGCTGCAGTCTGAGGCAGAATTTTTCTTATTTTTGGCAGAATGATGACTGAGAGCAAGGTTTTATTAAACAGCTCTAAACATCAGAACAGGACAGCTTCTAGAAGAGGATATTTGTTCTAAATCAAACATCAAAATCTACAGGGGAGTTCATTAAAAGGTACGAACACAAAGTTTATCTCATCTCTGCACAGTTTTTGTTAGAAATTTGATATACATTTACATATATCTCAAACAGGATTTAAAACGTCTTATCAAGTTAAAAAATGAAAGAAAAGTGAAAAAAAAAACCAAATTAAATAATGGCGATAAATGACCATTATTAACTGTGAAACTTCCAGTGAAGGGCAATGATTTGCTTAACTCTTCACAATAAGACACCAGCAACCTTTGAACTGCAAGAATGCTTTTCTTTTCAAAACATGAATAACTATATTTGTATGTGCTAACCATTCAGGTTAAGTCTGAACAAATCAGAGCTAAACAAGTTGAATTCTAGACTAGAGGATACATCAGATATAACCCACTGTCCTAGGTATACAAAACGAAATAAATCCTAAAACTGAATGGTTCAGTTGTAGTAAGTGCATTTAAGTTAATGACTTTTAGCATCATGGGCTTTTAAGTTAAAGAATAAGAAGGTTGTTTTCACTGTATTGGAAAGTGAAAAAGGTGAATTTTAACTGCTCATAATGTTGCAGGAAGTGGGAGATCAGTTCCTCATGAAACACAGGCTGCATTGTGCTCATTTTCATCAGAAGGCTACTGACCGGAATCACACGATGCGTCCATGTTGAGCTGCAGCAAAGGGCATCCAGAGGTGTTTTCTACCTTTACATGAGCTGCAGTTGTCATTTGATTTCAGTCCTATCACCATAGAAAGAATGAAAATGCAGAGCTACCGTATGGAGATGCCACATATTCTTTAGTTCTAAAAAGAATACAAATTTCATGCCAGAGTTTTAACCTAATTTTATTTTGCTATAAAAAAAAGGACAGAGTTAAACATTTTGTACAATCTCCTGTTCCTGTTACCATGCCGAATTTTAGCTCAATATCTGTAAAATATTAGCAAAAATCCGTTGAGGTACAGTCAGTTTTGTGACGACACTGTCGTCTTGAATTGAGCTGACTCTGAAAGTCATTCATTTAGTTCATAAGATATTTTGCTAACACTACAGACCAAAACACATGGTCAAAAACACTGTCCCATTATTGACTTCAAATAGGAAGAGCAAGACTGGATAAATGATTGATCATATTCACTGGATAAAGAAAGTTAAACTTTTCCAGGTTGTATCTTTTGTATAATGTTGTGCATGTGTGTGTGTGTGTCTGCGTGTGTGTTTTGTAAAACATAACTGGAGGCAGGAGTTGAATTTTGTTTGCATGTGCACGCGACTGTGAGTGTGTGAGTGTGTGTCTCCTCTCACAGTGAATCAGCGTGAACGAGTGTGTGTTTGTGCCCCCATCTCTCAAAAACACACACACAAACACACATACAGTACACACAAAGTCTGAGCAGATGGGATGCCTGAGCACGCAGAAGAATTACATCAGCAGCATGATTAGTTTCGTAACCTGACACGAGCCTGGCAGCCTTCTGTCTGGCTCTCTTCACCTCTGTCTCGGCCCTTTATTGCTCCCTCTCCCTCTGGAGGAGGAAGTGGTGCTTGGCATCGATTAGGCAGCGAGGAAGCATCGCTCTTCCTTGAACAGACACTCCTGGCTGCCATGCAAAGCACAGAACAGCCTTGGTCTGATTAGGCAGCGTTAAAAAAAGCGAGAGAGAGCAGCGAGCCTGACTGGCATGTTTAGTGAAGCCTTTTGGCATTGGGTTGAAAATAATTAGATCAGGGTGAAACGCAGAGTTTTACTCAGATGTCAAGCAGATGGTGAAAAAGATTGGGTGTTTTTGTAAAGCTTCATTCCACAGAGCAAAAGTATAACCTATAGTTTGAATTTAGAAAATAGACTACATACAGTACTGCAATTTATGGATGGCTGTTGGTATTGTGATTAAATTTAACAAGAATCTAAACTCAAAATTTACTCATTTGAATTTTTCCCCCCATCTTTTAGAAAAACTGATGCCACACAACCTGTCCACCCTCCCCTCTCCCATACTGGACCTAGAGGAGCTCCGTGCGAGGAAGATGAAGCACAGGGCGAAAGTGATAAAGGAGCTTGTTCAGACTGAAAAGGACTACCTCACTGACTTGGAGTTGTGCATCAGAGAAGTGGTTCACCCTTTACGTAATCTGCAGGTAGGTGTTCCTCAGAACGCTTCGGAGAAGACGTCTGCAGCAAACATGATGAAATAAATCAAACAATAAAGCCTAATGTGAACACTGAACCCTGTTCACACATTTCTATTGTTGAACCAACCCGACAAACTTTATGTTTATTATCAAGCATGATTCACTAATTGGCACCACTGAGATGAACCCATATATTGCATCACTTTGTTTTGGCAAAAAGCTGTATGCATAAAACTAAGATCCTTTGTTCATTTGATTTTGTTTTTTCCAGATAATAGATGTGGATCGACTCTTCACCAACATGGAGACGTTGTGTGAGGTGTCGGCAGCACTTCTCCACAGACTGAACGAGGCCATAGACGAGCCAGATCCAGAGGCAGTTGTCATAGGTTCGGCTGCTTTAACCTCTGACTCCTCGTCCACTTTTGCACTTGTTGGCTTTCTCTTTAAAGGTCAACAAAAGGTTCTCACGACTTTTGGTTTTATTTAAAGGTGATGTGTTCATCCAGGCAAAGGCAGCTTTAGAAGACGTGTATAAGATTTACTGTTACCACCATGACGATGCAAACTCGTCGCTCAAATCCTACGAGAAGGAGGAACAAATCAAGCAACATTTCATTGCATGTGTATTAGCTCTGAAGTAAGTTGTACCATGTTCTTAAAAAAACTCTACATTGTTTATACCTTACAAAACAAAGCATATAATGTTGTCTACTTATAATCTTTCTTGTGCCTATTTTATTGCAGAAAAATCTATGACCAAGAGTGAGTACCCTTTTTTTTCAGTGTTTTTTTTAATTTGTGTTTCTTGAAATTATTATCATTCACTAAACTGAATCCTTTTTGTCCAAAGAGGAAAGCCTAATTTGTTGGACATGGGCTCACTGATCATCAAACCCGTCCAACGGATCATGAAGTACCCGCTGCTGCTCGGTGAACTGTGGCAGGCTACCCCAGAAGACCACCCGGACTATCTGCCACTGCAGGAGGCTTTGACAGCTGCTAAGATCATAAATGTGAACATCAATGAGTTCAAGAGGCGAAAGGATATCGGTGTGACTTCATTTTCGTGACGTTTCTTGGTCAAATGTTTTGACTGAAGTTAAAAAAAGATAACTTTTTAATTTGATGTATTGTTACTGTTGTGCATCAGTTATGAAGTACAAGAGGTCAGAAGATGAAGGAACGTTGAGAGGCAAACTAAACAAGCTTAACATCCATTCCATTCGGAAGAAATCAGACAGGTTTGCTGGTTATCTAAAGATTCTCACTGGAGTTGAACCACAGGTAAAATACAGCAATGATGAGTTGTTTTGTAGTTGTAAAAAATCTACCAATCAATGATCAAACTGATTGGTTAGATGGATAAAAAGGAACCCAATTTGATGTCGAACCAACCTGAACTATCTTGTATTCTGCAGGTGAGAGATGAAGTGTTTGACAGAGAAGAGAAACTGTTCAGGAGTTTGGAGAAAGCTGTGAGGCAACTGGTCAAGAACGTCCACTGCTACATGCAACATATTCAGGTGAGCTCTTTAAACACTTCTGTCAGTTAAGATTTAATTGTTTGTATCCAGTGAAATCAAGGTTTTATATATCTCAAGTTTTACCTTTGAGCAAAAGAGTTGAGTATTCTCAACTTCATTACTAACAATTTTTGTGCTGGTCTAACCTTAGATGGAGAGTATTTTTTAGCTGTGACTCCTCTTAAATTTGATGTTCCCCAAGGCTCCATTTTAGGCCCTATTCGCCTCAAGTTTTATATGCTTTCCTTGGGCTTCAATGTCAAAAAGCAAAATGCTATCTTTCTCTATTTTGCTGATGACTTTCCGATCTATTTCACTGTACCAGTCAGCATCCTTATAGCTATTCAAGCCTTGCCACATTGTCTTTGAGATATACTAGCATGGATGGAGAGAAAACTTCCACAGCAGAAATCATTTTATTTGGACAATCCAATATACTAAATGTACCAGTCCTAGCCATCCATTGAATTCATCCATCTGTTTAACAGGACTACAAACTCAAGCCATGTCCTATTAAATCAAAAACTGTGAGCCTAAATAGAAACTAATTATTTTGAGTTTATGATTAGCAAAGTAAATCAAATGTTAAATCAAGCAAAAAGTCTATACTCAACATGTACGCTAATTACGTAAGGTTTAATCTTTATGCTGCCAGTTCAAATATTTTGACTTTCCCCATTAGTCAACAATGAAAATGTTCTGCCTAAAGATGTGTATAAACTTTATGAAATATGCAAAATTACTTCAATAATGTTCTCAAGTAAAATAAATAAAACACCTGATTTTATATATTCTGTAAAATCTGATATACTTTTGACCAACTTCTCTGCAGGAGATGGTGTCTGTGGCTGTTCAGAATGTGAAGGAAATAGAAAATATCATCAAAGATCCCAGCAAAAATGACCTGAATGGTTCATCACACAACAACAGCAACGATCCGTACAAGTACCTTGTAAGTACATATTTAGTTGCAGCCAGGTTGCACCATACCTGTTACCAGTTTACTTTAATGTGTGAGTTAATTTAATGTTCAGCCTCCTTGTCTTCCTTTATCTCCATGAACCATTTAATTTTGTATCTGTCCTTGCTTTACTCTTTTATCTTTCCTTCTCTCCAACTGGGAGTCATCTGTCACTTTGCCGACAGCTAGCCTACCTGTCTTACTTCCAACATAGTAATATTTTTCTGTCCCTGAACCGGTCCTTAGATCCTGCAGCCCAGCCAAACTCTCCTGTCAACATGGCTTTCTATCTTTAATAACACCCATATTCCTGAATTGTAATTATCAACCCCCTCTTTAAGAAGTGTTTTAAACAATATCAAACAACTTGCTTTCATGTTTTAAATGTTTACATTGTGTAAGAAACATGCAGACCATTTTTTTCATCCTTTGCATCTTGACTTTTCCCCTGTAGAAAGACAGAATGGAGCGTTTGGTCTTGGCCCCGCTGTCCTGCCTGCAGGGCATGTTCACAGCTCCACAGAAACTCATCCAGAAGCGCTACGACAAACTGCTGGATTACTGCAGCCGCCTTGAGCGCTCGTCCTCTAATTCATCTTCGTCATCTCCCTCGTCTTCCTCCTCTTCGCTTGCATCAGAAGTTCCTCCTGGACTTGCCAAGAGGGATTATGAAGCTCTGAATGCTTTGCTGGTGGAGGAGCTGCAGAGGTTCAACATGGCGGCTCACCTGATCCTGACTAACTGTTTGGTGTGTTTGGTAGCCCTTCTCAGGGGGCTTATGGGTAATGCGTTGGTTGGTGCTCCATCTGCCCAGCAACTACCAGTGAGTCCTCAGCATGTAAAATGTAATGTTATGTGTGTGAATGCTGAGTCAGCAATCTTGTTTTCAAGTTGTTGTTTTTTTAATCTGCTATTTTAGCCACTCACATATCAAAGTGTTCAGCTAATTCAGGGGATGGGTGCTATGAATTATGGCTTTTTTAATCTTTAGCTTTCTCAATAGTTTTATTATTTTCCCCAAGATGTGCTCTATAGAAATACATTGAGATCATTTCCATTCCTCCAAAAACACTGCTCTCTTTAAAATATTTTTCACCAATCTGTTATTATTTACCAAGCATCTTTTTACTTTTAGCTTCTTGGTTGCTTTTGGCTACTTTTGGCTTTAGATAACTTTTTGCTAGTTTCTGGCCTTTTTTTATTTTTATTTTTTTACATTTTTTTTTAGCTTTTAGTCTTTTGGTACTTTTAGTTTTTAGCAGGTGTTTTGCTACTTTTAGCTTTTGCTAGCTCATGTTTCTTTTTTTAGTTTTGTGTTATCTTCAGCTTTTAGCTAATATTTTGCTTCTTTAGCCTGTTAAATTATTTTTGAATTTTAGCTCATTCTGACACTTTTAGCTTTCACTTTGCTTGCCTTGGCTTTTAGCTAGTAATTTGTAACTTTTAGCTTTTAGTGTTTTGCTTATTTTAGTTTTGCCAACTCACTATTAGATTTTTTTTAATTAAACTTCCGCAGTCAATCAACCCTTAACATTTCTCCTTTAGATTAATGTTTTTTTAATGAAAACTCATCTCTGCCATGGTTTGTCTTTTCAGCCTCCACTGTCCAACATTGCTGAAGTGCAGAACAGCATAATGGATGAGCTGAACAACCTGACGTTTGTCAAGGACAACGCACAGAAGCTGATTGAGAGAAAAGTCAGCTTTGAGAGACGAGACAAGAAAACAGCAGTAAGTCAAAGGGAAAAATAATCTAATTTTGATACTCTAAAAAAATGCAGCAACAACACAGAGAATTGGTAACACATTTTCCATTACATGTTACAATACAGTTTGTTCAACTCGACGGGTTTTATTCCTCACTGCAGACAGTATCTCCTCAGTATGGGCAGGATCTGCTTTTTATCACTGCACCATTTGTGGAGCTCTCTTGTTTAATTACAGCATTTTGATCTTGAAAACACCTAGAGCAGACTAATGAGGAGTATAAAAGTGTGAACATCTGAGTGACTTTGCAACAGACTTTTACTGTAAAAGAATTTGTAGATCTTTTGGGAATTATTGAACTAAACTCAATGCTGCAGAGAACAAAATATTTACCTGTAAACATACATGTAACTCCAAAGTGACAACACTGGCACGGCTTTCTTTCGACGGGCTTTTTTATTAAATGCCGTGAAAACTATAAAAACAAAACACAAAGCTTTAGACAGATACATTTACAGACAGACAGGTGACACGTGCTTTAACAAAGATACCTCGTGGCCGCCTGCCACTTCGGAGGTTGGTTTTTAGAAGAACATCACTTCGTTATCTGTTCTAAATCAAAGTATTAAATAATTAAATCACCACAATCAATGAATTTACAAAATACCATAACAACACGAGACAAGGCTGCTGCACGTGCTCACCTCCAAGCTTCCGCTCCTTCTCTGTTCATCCAAGTCTCGCAGCACAATCACATGTACACAAATCTCGCGATAACTTCCAACAAAAAATAGTTCGACACGAAATAAAATATAATCATTTTACAAGAATCTCAAAACGTAAACCAAACAACTTAAAATACATAAACCTAACAGTTAGAAATAAACATACATTTTTTCATAACATAAATCATTTTAGTGACACTTACAATACATTTGTGCTTATCTTCAAAATATGCATTCAGTTTGACCAAATTATTTATGTTTTAAATTATGTACATAAACAACTTACTTTAAATTTAGGCAATTTAGGAAACTTGAATGTTTTTGTTTGGTTGTAAATGGAGTTTCCATATGATCATTAACCAAATAAAATTAATTTTGTGTAAAACAAGAAGAGATATTTGAAACGTTTCGACAGGTTAAATTATTACAATCAATCTATATGTTTAATTTTATTTAGCAAACTGATTTTTAAAGAATGCAGTACTTCTGCTGGCTGACAAAAAGAAACAAAGCATGTTTACCTGAAACAAACAGCAAATAGTGTAAAAAAATCTAATTAGAATTTTTTTTTATTTTTAGTGATTTTCTGACACACCCCCACTTTGAGTCTGTAACACCCATCCTCCCCAGTATGTCCTTACCTTTTCACCTCCCTCATGCACTGATTACTGAAAACACACCTTGGTATTACACCATACCCATCTTAAATATTTACACCAACACTGCCTTGTGCTGGGGTGTCTGCCAGGTGCCAGAGGTGCAGCATCAGACGGAGGAACAGCGCGCCTGGCTGCTGTCAGAATACCCTCTGAGCCGTCTGTACCAGCTGAAGAGGAAGTGCAACGGCTGCCAGGAGCAGGACCTCAGCCTGCTGGAGGGAGAGCTGGTGGCCCTGTTGGAGGACACAGACCCTTTAGGCAGCAGCAGCCGCTGGCTGGTGGACACTGGAGGTAAGAGTGTAACTGTGTCAAATCCAGGCTCTACCAACTGAGCCACGGTGTCGCCATAATAATAATAATTTTCAATATGCAAAAAAATTACAAACTTATATAATAATAATAATAATAAAATTCTTCTTCTTCTTCTTCTTCTTCTTCTTCTTCTTCTTCTTCTTCTTCTTCTTCTTCTTCTTCTTCTTCT